GTGTAACGTGTACCATTGTGTAACTTTTAGCATATACGTATACTTATTTACGTTAATGTGTTACCAGATACCGGTTTGCGCTTACCGTGTAAGCGGAACGCGCGTCTTCCAACGTTTTGAGCTTCTCATACGTAAACGTGTATACGCCCATACGTTTTCGCAAGCCATAAGTGGTGATGCTAACTGCATTCAAACTGCATTTAATTTACAAAGGATTAAATGATTGTTGTGGCAAAATCACGAGACTTTTTTCATCGCGCGCAGTATCCTGGCACACGCAAAAAAAAGAAAGATAGACGGTTACTGTAGCGATGGTGTCGACATCTTGTGGCACTTCGTGCAACCACAGTCGTGAACATGTTCGCTTACGCGTAATGTTTTTGAGGGGAAAATGATTAAAAAGTAACTCATTTGTAAGAGCGCCGCTGCGCGATTTTTGCATCGGACGTACAATGCACAATGTTTCTGCAATGACAATGTTGTGATTGCCTAGTTCACTATGTTCACACTAGATGGCACCGCCTATTCAGTTGGTCGGAGGCTGGCATAATTTTGGTTTCTATGTTTCAGGCCATGCTAGCATCGGTAATCTGACTGAAACAATGTGATCGCTATTTGAGCTCGCACTTTGGCTTATTTTAACTCGACGGCTAGAGTATCCGCAGTGCGGATACCATGAGTTCCTGCGAAGGTGGACCTTACAAGGCAGCTGATCCATGCTGTCCGAGATTTGGCGCCTTTCAATCAATCAATCAATGTTTCTTTATTAGCATCAGAAGTGTACATTGTGAGTAAGTATGCAGGAGGAGGTCCCAAGGTAGTAAACCGCAGGCGGGACCTCCTATGTTATTACAATGAAAAAGCTAAAATATGAATACCGAAAGAGCAAGTCACGGAACATTTCGAACTTTTTTTTTCTACAAACAAAGCAAGATATCAAAACTTAACAAAATCTAGCAGTCATACGTTTAATAGAGACTTTTTTAATTTCCTCTTAAAGACATGACTGTTCATTAAGTCTTTCACATCATGTGATAAAGAATGTCATATTGAAATTGATGAAAAAACAATGCTCATTTTTCCATAATTAGTGCGAACTTTAGGTAATAACAGGTTATGGGCGACTGCGAATCTAGTAATATAGGAATTATCCAACAAGGTAAAAGGAAAGATGTCGATAGTGAGGGTACGGGTTGTGTCATGATATTTGTATAGTGGTTATCCACTATAATATTTGTGCTTAAAACTTAAAAGTCAAAGTGGTGGCACTGGCCAGCCTAGGCTTTGCTTGCTGTGAAGGTGGGTGACGTCACGGGTAACATGATTATCGACACCTAGTACTTGTAAAATATAAGAAATGATACATAGTATGTACAATTTTTGTAATCCTGACAAGAGTGGTTTCTGTCGCACCCTGTTCTGATGCCCAGGCGCGAAAGACCATGTATCTGATTTAAATACTTTTCCTGATTAATAAACCTTTAGTTGTGAGAGCAAGCGCTGTCCTTGTCAGCCTCTTCTGTCCGACCGTTTTTTTTTTGTGCGCTTCAACAAAGTCTTCAATTATGAACGCAATCCAACTGTCCCAACTTGCCATCCTGCTGTTAACACGATGTGCCAGCATGTGCGCCAGTGCAGCTTATCTCCGCTAGGAGGCCAGTGGTGGCAGGGATGTTTATGGCCGCGCGAACGCATGGCCCCATTGCCCCAGCTATCTTGCGACGTATCTGTTTGGGGTTTCGCGCATGTGCACTACCGCCGCCCCAACGTCCTGGGTACGCAAGCCGCTTTGGTACCGAGCACTGAAACTCCCTAATGTTGCTCAAGATTCAACGTTAATACTTGTGCAATTGTCAATAAAAAGCAATTATTGCGCATGTCTGGGGCACCATAACAACACGTATATACTCTGCATGTCCGTCTTTTACTGGGAAAGGCATACATAAGTAATTTTAAAGACCGTAGCGCTTATCACGCAGCGCTGATCATGCAACGCCTTCACGAAAAGGCGACTGCTTTCAACGCTTTGCTAAGACGAGACGGTGGTGGCACCTACCCATCGCCTTGCGTTCTACACTTTATCACCTCTGAGACGCGCACGCACACCCGCCTCCGAGCCACGCGCATCGTTTTCCAAGAAAACTACCAGATGGCGCTCATGTCTAACGTGTGGCGTGACTTGATGCGCTTGTTCGCCTCCGCTGCACGCTCGAGGCACTCTAACGCAGCGCCTCCAGAATACCATTCACCGATTCTTGGTTTGGTTTGGTTTGGTTTGCTTTATTCAAGGCAAAATTGAACAAGAATGCCTTGGGGGACACGACTAAAAGCTAAGTAAATGCCTGAGTTGGTCGTGCTACCCTGACAGAACATCAAATAAATGTTTTGTTCACTCTCTCCACACGCAACACTACCGTCTTTCGACGACATTTGCAGATTACCATGCAGATACGGGATCAATTTTTGCGGGTGCTTTCTACATCGTTTTTATACAATTATTCTCATTACTTCTTTAGTAGCAGCTTGTCACGATGGTTCTGACCCTGCTTGGCACTCCAGCATTGGCGGCTGGAGCGCGCCACTCACCATCCGCTCCACCATACGCCACTATACACCATGTGCCACCAACTTTCCAGCACCATAATCCACCAAAATGGTGGATGGTGGAATTGACCATTCCTATGGTGGACGTTTTTTCAATAGGGTAATGACAACACGCCACGCTCATGGTGCGCTCGCGGTCGTTTCGCTAGCTTCACGTGTACCAAATTTGGTAGTACGAACCGTGAATGGATGACGAAATTATATGACTGGTGCATACATAATAATCATGAGATGTGTTTTATGTAAAAACATGATTACACGACACGCTCATGATACGCTCACGGCCGTTTCGCTGGCTTCACATATACCAAATTCGGCATTACGTGACGTAAATAGACGACGAAAGTGATTGACACGCGCCAACATGATAATCAAGACATGCGTGTTATGTAAAACATGATTACATGCTACGCTCATAGCGTGCTTGAGGCTGTTTAGCGACCAAGTTTGGTAATACGTGACATGAATGGACGACGAAAGTAAATGACACGTCCAAACATGATAATCATGCTATACGTGTAATGTAAAACATAACAACATGCTACGCTCATAGCACGCTCGTGGCCGTTTTGCTAGCTACAAAGATACCAACTGTGGTATCACGTGACGCGAATAGACGAAGAAGGCAAATGATACGTCCAATCATGATTATCATGACATGCATATCTCTTAAAATGTCACTACATGCTGCGCTCATAGCGTGCTCGCGGCCATTTCGCTAGCTCTACATATACCAAATTCGGCATTACGTGACGTAAATAGACGACGAAAGTGATTGACACGCGCCAACATGATAATCAAGACATGCGTGTTATGTAAAACATGATTACATGCTACGCTCATAGCGTGCTTGAGGCTGTTTAGCGACCAAGTTTGGTAATACGTGACATGAATGGACGACGAAAGTAAATGACACGTCCAAACATGATAATCATGCTATACGTGTAATGTAAAACATAACAACATGCTACGCTCATAGCACGCTCGTGGCCGTTTTGCTAGCTACAAAGATACCAACTGTGGTATCACGTGACGCGAATAGACGAAGAAGGCAAATGATACGTCCAATCATGATTATCATGACATGCATATCTCTTAAAATGTCACTACATGCTGCGCTCATAGCGTGCTCGCGGCCATTTCGCTAGCTCTACATATACCAAATTTGGTGTCAGCTGACGTGAATAGATGAAGAAAGTTAATGACGCGTTCAAACACAATAATCATGGCATGGAAGTCATGTACAGCATAATTTACGTCAGCCTCATCACGTTGTGCTGCTGTCAAACCGACATCACAACCTTCCCCATTCGTGCTTCGGCAATGATCGACTCCCACTGTACGTGGGATCTGCCAATTTTTCTCATTTGGTTTGTGACACATTAGAATATTGGTGTTTCAGAAGAAGGCCGTGAAGCGTATCGCTTTCTTTAGTTTTATATGGAGGGCTAACTTGTAAGAATTAAAAAAAAAGCTCATCTTGGGCGCCAGTAGTATAATGTGCTTGAAAAAGCGGGTAACTCTAAAATGGGAGAGCTAGAAGCTGTCCCGTCGCCTCAAACTTGATGATACCCGTCTTCCAAAAGTAAACAGAACTTTTTAGACCGCTAACGTCACACCTATAGACATAATAATTTTTTTCCATAAAGACAAGTCATTTCAAGGCCATAATAAATCAGGTGGGTTGCCGGTGCTACGTATAGTGAAACAATGCTACGCGTCAGAAAAGCAGGGAATCGGAAACTCGTAAGGCTTAGCCACTTTGATCTGTAGCCATTCGTATTTTCAATGTCTTGTAAGAAATTAGGCCAGTGACGCAGTAAGCCTAAATCGGTTATTAGATAACCCTTAGAACTTCCATTACGGGCTCATATCGTTAATGCTAAAAGATCAAAAGAACTCCAGGCTCTTTTTATAGGGAAGCCGTCGCATAGACGGATGCTATTGCCACCGTTTCACATGTGACAATGTCATTTTATTCGTCAGTAGTACCCTTCAAGGAGCTTAAAAAAACGTGCCGACTACACTCTGTTCCTGAGAAACTCAGACATAGTTGTGGTTAACTCAAATTGAAAGAAAGTTCTCTCCTTCTTACATTTCAATAAATTCTACCCCGAAGAAGCTTTAACTAACCAAGTTAGCCACTGCTTGTATTCGTTGCATAAGAAGACGATTGGGTTCTTAACGTGTAGTGATGCTACAGTGCCGATTAAGATTTCTAGAGTGGTGCCACCTAGACGCGCAATTGAGATGTTCTTTGAGAGCAATCCCTGTCATTATTCGATATATCTAGGTGCTATTTTGACCAGAAACGCTTGCCGTTTTAGATAAGCAACTGCACGAAGCATCTCCGGCAATGACACATGCGTCCACTGGGTAGGTCCGGACAGACTCACGTCGGACAGCTTGTCGAAGCGCGCGAAGAGCTCGTTGAGCGTGCGAACCAGCTGCGCCGCCGGGCAGGTAGACGAAAAGGCGGTGAATCCCACGATGTCAGCGAACAAGATGCTCACATTCTCATGGCGGCTCATGTAGATCTTCTTGAAGGGTCCCTGCACTACGGCATCCAGGTCCTGCTTCAGCTCCGCGGCCACGTGCTTTGGCAGTACGGAAAGTAGTAGCCGCTCTTGCTCCTGCGCATCAAAAAAAACATCCTTGAGAATACTAGAGCTGCTTGTAGCTTATATGTGACAATGACTTCAGACAAGAAACGCGGTACGTATACGAGATAGGCGTCACGTTTTTCTGAGCAGGCTTTGCTACCCTGGCACAGTATAGCGGGGAAGACTTCCTAAAACTGCTGGAGCAACAATAGCGAACGAAGTGATGAGGCAAAATCATAGAAAGCTGACAGGAAGAATCTTTCGAAGAAGCATTGTGGTTGTTGGAGTACACAAAAAAAAACACACGAGAAAACATTCATCAACTATAAATCTTTTTGGCAATGCTGCATGAAACTTCGAAAAGGTAAATTGTTGGTCTTGTCGGCATAACATGTTCACAAAGTTTAGTGCGGCAGTGAAATGACGAGGACAAAACAGTGAAAACAAACACAAGGCTATCTGCACGAAACGTCGCATTTGACGATGCAACAATGCTTCCTCTGCCGTACTGGAATTTTGTCCCGTTAACTTAGTGTAGTGGTCATTTATTATCGGTCATCTGCATTAGAAGGAAGCTGTTGCGAAATTGTTCTTATTCCATGAGAGTCGCAAGAATTTCTCGATGCGAGGATGTAGCAATCTTGGCAGAAAATTGCTTTTTTTGGAATATTTAACAAAAGTGGCTTCTAGTACTAAGGTGCCCACAGCATATTTTTCTTAGCGTATGTGCAAGTGCTCATAGCTTATGGTGCCGCGAGCGTACGTGCACCACTGGGTTCGTGTTAGCTTTAGTCTTAAAGAAGCTGATACCCCTTTGTCTCGGCATAGCTAGACAGTACATGATCTTGACTGCCTTTTGTTTTTTTGTAAATCAAAGCAGAACCATTATGCTCCAGGTTTGCTGTCGCTTGTTCGTAGAAACTTGTCACCGTCATGAGCCGCTACTATCTCTTCGGGTTTTCCGCCACGCTGCCAGAACACATGCGCCTGTATTTGACCGCCATCACATGCAATAACTTAGATGGGAAAGAGAGCGACTACAGAGAGACAGGAAAATAATGCAGGAACATAGACACAGACAAAAGAAAGGGCCAAGTTCTTGGAGAAAAGTTTCTTGGTAGGGCGAGATCTCGACTCACGTACCCATTTGCCACTCCCGTACCCGAGGGTCACGATGGCCATAACAGGGCATCATGACACTTTACTATCTAGATATCACGTTATTTCTGTAATAAGGGGGATGGGAAGTGAAGGCAAGGAGGAAGGCAGAAGTAGAGAGAGACAAATAAGGAAAGGAGTAGCAAAAATAGAAATGAATGAAAACAAACAAAATGGAGAAAATATTGACAGATAGATAAAGAGAGAGGGAGAGAGAGAGAAATAGAGAGTAAAGTCAGAGTGTTCAGCCAAGTTTCGGCTCTATTGGTCATTCTGCACTTGGGCTGGGTGAAAGGGGAAATGATAGAAAGGGAAAGATAGGGAAGAGAGAAGAGTAAGAAAGGAATGCATAAACAGTCAGTTTCAACAAGGTGGAGAGACCCGGACACAAACTGAAGATAACAGAAATAAAAGCAAGCACAGCACAATTAAAAATAAATAAATACTTTATTCTAACTTTTAAATAGTAGTGGTTTGTCACATATGTTACAGCTCTGCAAGTAACTGCAGTTAGGATTGGTAAGGGTGGCAACAGTTAGTACCTACAGTTATTACCTTTGTTGTTACTACCAGCATTTAGCAACTGTCAATACCCTACTTGATACCAACCATAGGTAGTGACTTTCGAAAGTCTTAAGAAAACTGAATAGAAACCAATATTACCGTGTTGATTTTGCCATAAATGTATTAATGTTAACAATGGTCAATTGATCAGGAGCAGTTCCGTTGGCTCGGCTGTAACAACTATGTTTTCAATTCACAGGCACTACTGGTCTCCTGGGTCGCCTGGCTATCTTCTGCAACAAACGGAGGCATCACCTGGGATAATCATCGTTTTGAGCTGTCCTGCCTCACGACACCTTGGTCGCGGCGCCCTTCATCGTGACTACGCCTGCGCAAGCCACCCCCGCCTCCCTCTTACGGTCATCAGTCACATCCTCTATCATCAACCGAATAAGTCCTCCCATCCAGTTTGCCTCCAGTAGGCATGGGAGCAGTTTCGTTGGCATAGCCTTCAACCACTGTGTTTTGAATTCACAGGTCTATGCTATTTATTCCTTGTTTGCTAAGGCAAATGACGAGCCATATTTGATTGTGTTCCCGTGCCCAGGAGATTTATGTGAAACCGCTCGTGAGTGACACTTTTCCGGCTATGCTCGGGGGATTTCGAAACAAGCCCTAGCACTAACAGACACTCTGAATCTCACTGCTCATATCCGCCTGGTCGGGTTCTGGCGGCTGATGGTAATGATAGGGTGTATACTTGGGTATACACCCAAGTTTTGAAGGTGTTGGCCTCATCGCCAGCCACCTGAAATCTCTGCTTCTGCGAAATATGGTGAGGTCGCCATCAACCTGGCTGGACCATGCACCATTAGGTCTGCCGAGCCCACCGAGAGAACACTTTCCTTCTCGGAGTGACTTCCCCAGCATCCACGAAGCAAGCGGGAGCCGAGGGGTGCTCGTCATAGATCAAGGGGCAACAGCCCCGACAACACGACTCGGGGCCGCACAGAGGCTGCCGGTGACAGTGCTTCTCCTCCACTTAGGGACTGACTCAACAACCCGTCAGGTACGGCCCGCTCCAGCAGATGTTGGTCTCGTGATTTCATGGCCTTAAGAAAGAAAGTTGATAAGCGTTTGAGGTTTGAAATGCATGCTTCAAACCTGGAAACATATATTTCATCGGGATTTGCACCAAAGGGTCTCACTGTTCAGCTGCAACCCGCAATGAATAACTTCCACAAAAATGAGCAGCGGCAGTGGAGCAATATCTTAAAAGTTGCATCTATTAGGCTTACGCAGGTCGTAATTCGCAACTTTCACCACCTAGAGAGGGCGCTGGTGCAAGCCCAACATGGCTGTCGTTTGGGGGATCGTGCAGCCGGCGCGCCGGCAGCCGCCGCTGGTGTGCCCGTCACTTCGACCTGTGTAGTATTTTATTCTGCAGCCATTGTTATGTGAATGATTTGATGAGAAGAGCATTAACTCTAGCATGTATTATATCTCACAATGCGTGTTGAGAAACGCGTGTGTGGCATATATTGAAGGAAAAGATGTTTTGAACGCCGGGCACATCGTCTGCTGTGGTTTATAGCTTTGTGAATGCTGCTCGGGCCACGGCCGGGAATACCGTGCGGCCGTGCTCGTGCAAAGCAGGAAACTTCGCCTTTGACTGCACGGCGTCTGCCCAGCGGCATCCAACATATTTTATAGCTCAGCAAGCAAACAATAAAGAGTAAATCATTGCTACTACGACTCGCTGTACCTGTCTGACTTTAGAATAACCGTAGTAGAAATTGACAGCGACAAATATAAAGCACCAGTGATCCGCCTAAGTGAGAAAGAGAGAGAGAGAGAGAGAAGAAATGTAGGAAAGGTAGGGAGGTTAACTAGACTATGCGTCCAGTTTGCTACCCTACACACGGGGAGGGGGACAGGGGAGTAAAAAAAGAGAGAGATGGATAGACACATGTCACATCACACACACAATGCCGAGTTTCACTGGTGGTCCCTCAATGAAGTTGCTGTCAAGTATCTCAGGAGGGCTCGTGTGGCTTTCTGTGCTGATGTGCTGCGCGACCAAGCTCCTAAGATCTTTGCTTCATTGAATGGCCGGTCATCGAGTCTATTCAAGGCATACAGGAGAGTACGGCGATCTTCATAAAATTGGGCACAGTGGCACAAGAGATGTTCAATTGTCTATACAGTTGCAGCTTTCACACATGGATGAATCTGCCATGCCAATGCGATGGCTGAATGACTCAGTAAACGCTACCCCAGTCCACAGCCGGCGCAGCATTGTAGCGTCACATCGAGAAATCTTGGAATGCAGTTGTTTCTGGAGTAATGACTTAAGGTTCTTAGGGCGATGAGTGGAGTCAAGTGGTGAATTCCAGTGCGCAAGCGTTGCATTATGCGCGATGTGACGAAGTTCTCTAGCTGCGTCTACTCCTGTCAAGGGTATTAACAGTGTGGGCGCTCCATCTTGGGCACACCGGGCAGCGTCGCGTTGGCGAGGTGGTTACCACTGATGCGACAGTGGCCCGGCAATCATTGTAAAACAATGTCGTGTCCTTGATCAGCGGCGCGATGACAAATTTCATTATAACGATACACCATCTGGTGGTAGTTTCCACGTCGTAGAATTCGCACGCATTGAAGGGCTGCCTTGGAGTCGCAGAATATGGCCCATATACTAGGGGATTCTTGCGTAACAAACTCCACAGTGGCTCGCCCTGCCACGGTAGTCTACAGGCTAAGGTACTCGGCTGCTGACCCGCAGGTCGCGGGATCAAATCCCGGCTGTGGCGGCTGCATTTCCGATTGAGGCGGAAATGTTGTAGGCCCGTGTACTGAGATTTGGGTGCACGTTAAAGTACCCCAGGTGATCAAAATTTCCGCCCTCCACTACGGCGTCTCTCATAATAAAATAGTGGTCTTGGGACGTTAAAGCCCACAAATCAATCAATCAATCCACAGTGGCTCGAAGAGCGGCGAGCTCGGATCCCGTAGATGTCTTGACGTGTGATGTCTTGAATTTGACGGTGATTGATCAAGATTGTTGGTCCTCTGAGCCTTTCTGCTGTGGCGCGGCTCACATCAAGCAAAAACACGTCTTTCCACATGAAAGGCTTTAATGAAACTAAAGAAGAAAGAAAAAGACAAGGGTCAGCCAGCGCTGCCACGAGGCCAAGCGTCAGCTTGTGAGGAGGATCAATAATGATGATGACTGCTATTCCGCTGCAAGGGATAAATAAAGGAAGTCACAACAGTCTCCCGCGCCGACAGATGACGCTAGGTTGCTTCCAATGGATACAGTAGCTGCACAGGACGCTTCACAACAGTGCCGTCGGGCAAGCGTATTAAAG